GCATGGTACTGACTAGAAGGTTTATACCGTTGATATGGGTAGGAATTCTTGCGACTGTGAGCAATTTGATAAAGACAAATACCCTTGTGTGCATGGAGTAGCTGCTGCCATATGACTGTGGCAACGGGAAAGGAACTCTACCTATCTGTGTATTGTTCAAAGTACTATTTGGTGAAGTATGGGTTCTGGGTCATCACATGATAATATATCATGTTCCTCATATGTCAGATTGGGTTATACCAGAAGATGTTAGAGCAAAGAAAATATATTTCCTCTAAATTTTGAAATGAAGAAATGAAAACTACAACAAACAAGATTTCCATCAGTTATCTCGTGGAAGAGAAAAAATAGGAAAATGGGGAACTAGAGGCAAAGCCTGAAGAGGAGGAGGTATAGTATTGTATTTTGAATGTGGAAGTGGTTTAGGTTTGGGTACTACTGAGAACTACTCAAGATTAATATGTTTAATATTAACTACTAGTACTATCTAGGACTATTATGTGTTATTCAAATTACTTAAAACTACTAAGGACTATTTTGTGTTATTCAGACTACTAAGAACTACTTTGAACTACTATGTGTAATATGGACTACTGGTACTTCTTAGAACTACTATTTGTAATATGGACTACTGGTACTTCGTAAAACTACTATTCGTAATATGCATGTTCCTAAAAAACTTCTATTTTCGTCTTTTTTTTATCAGATGTAACTTACATTAGTTGTATTTATATGTCTATATATGTGCTTATTTATCAGATAAGACATAAAATTATAAATTTTATACGTCCATAGGAAACTTCTCATTTCCATACAAAACATCCTTATACTTTTATAACTAATGTCTTTATGATAAGTTCATAATGAGGTGAATAATACAAAATACATTTTTCTAAAATGTTTTTCTACCAATGTTTTATATTCATTCTTAAACTGTCTAAATGTATTGGTTTTACGAAAAAATTGTTTTTGGTGTGGTATTACTAATAAATGTTGAATTTGAAAATGTATTACTATGAAGAACGTAGTATTACTACAACCTTGGGTATTACTAGGTGTAAATATGTTGAGAATATTTTACACGTGTGTGTTACATGTGTGTTACACGTTTTACACGTGTGTTTTATACGTGTGTTGCATGCTTTACACATTTGTTAATTTTTGATAGAAAGTGTTGATAAATTCTTAGTAATACCAAATAAACCTAGTAGTACAAATTTCTTTTTTTAGGCATAGTAATTCAAAATAGTGGTCCAAACCTGTTACAAGACAATCATACAAATCCAGAATAATAAACTTCCAAGGTTTCACATCAACAAATCATAGGTAAGTTTTCTTCTCTAGGCATGTGGAAAATGACTAAACTGAGGGCAAACCACGGAAACTCATCCTTAAGCTCTCTGATGACATCCACAGTCTTGGTCAGTGAGAACTTGCTTTGTATCTTACATGTCTTGGTGAACTCGGTGTTTTTGAAGTAGAGATTAAAGGTGGCACTGGTTGGCATTCCTGCAAGGCAAATAAAACCAACAAAATTTTTTTTCATAATTACCACTCACAACAATAATACAATTACTAGGATAAGACCTGCGCCTTGCGCAAGATAAACTTATATAAAAATTATTTAAAAGATATTATATGAAAAAAACAAATTTATATTCTTGACTGAATTAATATTTTGGTCTTTAAACAAATTTTTAAACTTTTTTTTTAATTACATAATTGTTTTACTGATGAGCTGATCTCATATTTAAAAATGTTTCAGGTCAAAATATCACTTACCGCAAAGATTCTAACGTTTAGGTCAAAAACTTCCGGCTCTATTTGGTAACAATGAAACTATGCTAGCTCGGTTTTATATCATGATTTAGCAATTTAAAAATTAATTGTGGTTATGAGAAGTTAACGTTCACATGTCAATCCTATCTATCTTCAATATTTTTCTTTTTTGTGTCTTTTTTATTTCGGTTATTGCTCGATATAAATATTGATTTTGAAGTTTATTCTCATTTTGTTTGTTTGTATTGGCCCAAGATTTAGATAATGCTTAAGATTTAAAATAATTAAAGAGATACATACTTAGGTTAAGATCTGTACTTTTTGCAGAATAAGTATTTTATATTTATTATTTATTTATGTTTTCCTGCATATTATGAAATAATAAAATAATAAGTATACATATTAAATAACTAAGAAATCAGTTACTATTATATAATAAATTGGTGTGTGCATATAAATATAACTATCACTCTCGTTTATTCGTAATTAGGGTAAATAAATCAAAACAATCAATTTTATCTATCCTATATGATATATAATTAAATTTAAATGATATTAACATAGATATATAGCACACTTTATCTATATTTATTAAATGAGGTTTCTAATTATATGATTTTATGATTATTTTCATATTTGTATAACAAAATTTTACACCAACGAATTTCTTTTAGTGTGAGATGTTTAGTAGTTTCAATAATTTATAATCATTTTTAAAAAACAAGGACAGGTTTTAAAATTAAAATATTAACTTTTCAATATATGTTCAGTGCAAAGATCAAAATATTAGTATGTATTTCATACGATGTATAGTTTAATTTAAAAGATATGAAATATATATATATATATTAACATAAAACCTATTAAAAAAAATTATTTCTTCATATGCTCTTAGAATAATTGTATTTTAATATAGAAAAAAAATAAACCTAGATAGTAAAAGCTTATGTGAGACTTTTAACAATTTTAGTAATTTATACTCGTTTTAAAAAAATTGAAATACAACATACACAAAAAACAAATTTAGATTTTTCTTAATGATTAATGTAATTTTGTAATTTGTTTTGACAATAAAGAAATAAACAAAATGATAAAAGTATATAGATTGTTATCAAATATTTATAGTTTAAAATCATTAATATATTTAAATCACATTAGGTAATTCCATAGGTTTTATTTAAGGAAAGTCTGCGGACCCATAAATATTTGATATATGCGATCAACTATAGTCTGCGAAATATATATTGCTAGAGAGTATAATTTTTAGAGTATAGTTTATATAAAGTGCTCTAGAATCATTCTAAATTGAAATAGAAGACATAGAGAGGTACCACGTAGGATGAGTTTGGTTTTTAATTAATACAAATTTAAGGTTACAACTTTTCAAATGTTTCTCAATTAATATATAGGAGATGTACTTTTAATACTAATCATACCAGTAATACAGTTATGTCCTAGTAGAACTAATCTTACCAATAATAAACGCCAGCGACACTTTATTCAACTAAACGTAATACATGAGAAGTAACACTTTATCTCGGATGGACCAGACAGATCATCACTTGTGTTCCTGTCGAAAAGCTTTTCTACATGCTCTTTAACTAGATGAGCAATGTTTTTTTGGGCTCTTGTGGTCGTTTACTTTTTTCTTAATTCTCTGATTTTTCTTTATGTGCTTCTTACGAGAACGGGAACCATTAATTTCCCTGATCTCAACACATTCAGTCACAACCGAGAACGGGAACCATTAATTTCCCTGATCTCAACACCATTCACTCAGTCAATAAATCTCCGATTCCCTTTCGATCTATATATTCTCAAACATTCAAAGACTGAATCACCAATTCAGTGGCACATATAAAACATTCAATCACGAAAACATTAACTCTAAACCATGGTCATAATCGACAATCATCACTACACAAACTCTTCTCACTACACTAATCTCAATACCAAACTAACTTTCAATCTCCATAACCAAAAAATCGAACATTCTCCCCAATTGAATACATACCAGATTCATATGCTTTTTCGGAGAATAACTCATTCTTTATGTTTTAACAAGGCATTTCACTGATTAGAGTCGACACAGTAAAAAAAAACACACAAGATCGCAACAGTTTGGTCCAAAAATACTTTTCTATCATAACATATACCAAATCTGAGATTTCACCATGTGTTTTCCCCAAATTTCATAGCATAAACTTGCTTACTAAAGAAAATACCTTAGTTTCGTCTAAAATTTACAAGTTTTCCCCAATTTTTATCTAACCTAAATACAAAATACGACGAAATCAACCAGAATAAATCACTTACCAAGATGAAGGATATTGATTTGGAAGATGGAGGCTTGATTATCACTAAGAAATAAGAAAAGAACGAAGAGAATGAAGATTTTAGGGTTTGTTGCCGTTTATGTCGCAAAGGAGAGAAAGAGAGAGACTCGACTCGACTTGACAGAAATGCGAGGGCAGAGTTGAAACGCAACGTTTAGGTTTAAGAACCAAGTTAGATCCAAATTGATTTGGATTGGTCGGATTTCTATGGTCGGGCTAAGTAATTAGGTGGTTCCATTTAGGGTGCTCTAGTCTTTAACCATTTTTTATATAAAAATATTTAAAATATATATATATTTAATTAAGAGGAGATTACATAATTTTCGAAAAGAATATGGGACATTTTGAAATATTCTCCTAGTTGGGAGGACTCAAAAATAAAACATAGTGGAAGAGCATTTTGAACTTTGAAGTATATATTTACTTGAAGTTGACATATAAAAAAAGGAAGAAATTACTCACAAAAGAAACTGCAGGGGAATATCGATAGTCTTACACTATTAAAAGGGCATAATAAAGCCTTTTGAGAGTGTCCACGTCGGATCAAATAATCAACCAGTAGGAGACCTTAAATTTTCCACGTCACCTCCGCACGGTTCTGTTAAACCCGATTTCAGAAAATCTATCCCACAAATTGAGTCATCCATTCGCTTTCACTAGCTTCATCTTCTCAGTTTCTCCTTCTCACGATCTTCTCCGTTTCCCCTTCTCACGATCTTCATCACTATTAACAATCAAACCTACTCTTTCTTCACCATCTCTTTCCTGCAATCTCCTTTCATATATGGGTTTCCTTTTGATTTCTCCTTTTAAATCCGATACCAATCGAGTTTTCTCCTCATTCTCCTAAACTATTGCGGTGGCGATGTTCTATCGAGAGTCGCGATGGCGGCTGGATTAGGGCTTTCTAAAGCTCGCCTTAGGTACCGTAAAGTTTGAAACTTTGGATTCAAATTCTGTTTTTTTTTTCTGTTTGCAGCAGGCTCGTGGTTGCGACATCTGGCACTGGTTACATTCTCGGTACGGGGAATGGTGTTGTTGATTTAGCGGGTCATTGTTACACTTGTGCGGGTTTGGATCCTGTGCCAGTAAATTTTCAAAATTCTGTATTATCTGTCATGCAGGGCCAATTACCGGCGAGCTTGGCAGTTGGGTCATACGACTACACGTATCTAGCTTGGTTTTCCGGAGCATGACTTTGCTCCTTGAGGTTGACCTGCAAGTAAACACTTTCTTATGTCCAATGCCTGATCTATGTGTAAACAGAAACAGAAACTGAATAGTGAAGTGGTAAGGTACCTCTTTGGAGTGGTGGAGTCTAGAGGTAAAATTCACGAAGAAGAGGAGAGTTCAATCACGAAAAATATCAAAAGATAAGACTACAGGAACACCTTCTTATATGTATCTTTTCTTCAGATTGTTCAACAAAATCTACCAAAGAAGCTAAAGGTGAAGAATGACCCTGCAGTAATTGAAAAAACAGAAAGGGACAAGATTAGAAAAGCTTGGATCAACATTGTCAGAAGAGATATACCAAAACACCATAGAGTTTTCACAAATTTTCATCGGAAACAATCAATTGATGCCAAGAGGTTTGCAGATGGTTGCCAACGAAAAGTAATTGAAGTTCATTCTCATATTATGGATTCTTGAAGTGTTCTTGGTTCTCTTAGCTTTGAAGGTACTCTACACTTAATTAGATTCTTTAAGTGTTATGCATTGTTCTAACCTGGTTGATAACTACAGATTCTGATGCCTGAGAGGTTATTTTTAGTTAGTGGAAGCTCAGACACAAGAGTTTCTGCAGAAGAGTTTGGTTTCTCGAAAGATACATGTGACAGATACAGTGAACACGGCCCAGTTCTACATTCCAAGTGTACCGATTGTTTCAAAACGTTACCTTTGGCATCTGTGATATCAGATAATCTCTAAACTCATGGAGGCCTCTTTCAAAGATCCTCTCGGGTCCATGAAGATACCACTTTATTGGTGGATTCATTAGAGGAACTTGACAAGGTTGAGAGGAGACAAGTTGGTGAGAATGATGATGGGAATATAAATCTTAAACCATGTTTTATGGTCGTGTCCGTGGATGACTGATGGTCTGAGCAAAAGTAATTAAAAGGGACTTCTTTGAGGAGCTGGTTGCACTGAGAGTTTTCTAACACAATCGAACTTAAAGGTAAGTGTAAAACTTCTAATGATGTTTTCATTTGTGTTTATATAAACTTTAATGTGTTTGTTTTTACCGTCTTTAGATGATTAGAAGATCACATGAAGGCCCTGATGCAAGATCAGATAGAGAAGACATGGGAAACATGCTATATGGATACTCAGTAGATCATGAAGTAGAATCAGGAAATCTTTATACAATTTTCAGTGCTTCAAATCTCTCACAGGTCACTTCCCTTAAACAAAGAGAATCCGAATGCAACCTCTTCTGCGGCTTTTCTTACTGTCTATATTCACTTCACATCTACCATATGAATTGTTATTATTACTCTTCTTAGCTACTACTCAAGATGCATTCATCTCTTCTGCTGTTTCAGCTATCATCGCGTGATTAATATAAATATGTGGCTAACAACGCCTGCAGCCCTCATCACAATTCCCTAAACAGATCTGTACTCTCAGCTGCTCTTCCTAACTGTATTTTTTTTTAAATGTCCTTCCTCACTATTGTCAACTCGAGGTTGAGAAACTTCTGTTTCTTGAGGTAAAAACCAGTAATGTGCTTATTGGCATGGTTAATACTGAAGCTGAAAGGTGCACTGTCTATGGTAAGATTTATAATTAATCTCATGCTATATTTTGATATTTGTATATCATGAAAAGTGACAGGTTAGAATTTTTTTTCCCTTCTGCTGTTTTTTTTTTGAATCATTATGACAAGTCTCATGTGGTAATGCAGATGGATCTTACGAAATGGAGAATATATTTGATTTCCTGGGCAAGAACAATTTTTTGTTGATCCAAAAATTGACCGAAAGCAATAGAGTTTGGGTTACTCTAGCACTCTTAAGCTTCAGGTTAGAACTTTTTTGGTCGTAGTTCCTAATTGTTTCCTGTTTCGATTATATAATTTCTCTGATCATGATGCATGATTGACGTTTTCTCATCTAATGATAATAAAGCTACAAGCAATTGTGATTAATATATTTTTTCCTTAAACATGTTTTTGCATTAGATTATAACCTGACCTCCAAGTATTCCAAGTCAGATCCATCACTACACAATATAGGAGTACAATATTTTTATCCTTTTTTTATCAAATATTTAGTTTACTAACTGACACATGTGATCTATATTGAATATGCAGATTAAGTTTTTTTTGTTCAGGACTTGCGGATTGAATCGTTTTGCGTTTGGTCAGTGCCAGTTCTTGAATATGAAAGCTATAGTCTTTAATGTTTTTTTTGGGACATATTTTCGAAGTTATACAAGCTAAGATAAAGAAAATCCAAGAAATCTGCCGGAAACACACAAGTTTAGTGACTGTGTTAGGAAAGAATTTTGGTCCGTTTCGTATTAAAATCTCCCGAGAATGTTCTTCTTGAGATAAGTAAATCCAAAGGACCACTTTGCTAAACCAAAGTTTCTATTAACCGCAACTGAGAAAGAAAAAAAACTCAGAGAATCTTCTGGGGGAAACTGAAAACAGGTACATAAACACATGGTTTGTTTTGACCAAAAAAAAAAAACACATGGTTTGTGAATAGCAGTATTGAGAAAACAGGGCGTGAAGTCGGATTAGCATTTCAAATACTCTGAGAATCATTTTTTCGCAAGATTTTGTGATTCGGCAAATGTGCATGCTGAACTAAAGGTGAACTTAATATTATCTGAAGCAAAGACTGGTGATTTCTGGAACATGAGCCAATCGTATTGATTTGTTGATGACAGGTTCATGATGCTCTACAAAGCTGTTGAAAAATAGAAGCCGGTAACAATAAGCTTTTTGATAGAGCTTCACTAGCTAAAGCCCTTCTCCTCTTCATTACTGTATGTTGTATCTTAACAGGTTTAATTTGCAGTTAAAACTATCAAAAAAATTGAGCACCCAGAACATGGATGCATTCATCAACGGAGAACTGAAACCAAGAGTTGGTTTTGCTAATGATGAATTGTAATCAAATTTGAGGAAATATTGTAGACATATGAAGACAAAAATATAACATAAATGTGAAGTTCAATGTTTCTGATATTCTGTAGAATTGTAAAATGAAGGAACTCAATTCTATAGAATCATTGATACTTTTTTTTTGTCAAAGAGAATCAGTGATTCAAAGAAATGTAATTACATTTAATATTATATGGTATAAAATCAAATTCGCAAAGAAAAAAAAACAGAATATTGCTACTTTGGTACCCTCTCTGCGAACAAGTTTTCTTTTCTTTTTTTTTAACACCCTGTTGATCTCCCTAATCAGTGGTGACGGTACCTGTGAGTTATTCTGAGGAAAATATCAAAAGATAAGACTACAGGAACACAAAGTTATGTAAATTTGAAACGAATATATATGTGCCATAAAAAAAAAGAATCACAACTACTAAGAAACATACAAAATACAAATTTCACACGTGCATGTACAATCGAAACGGAATGGAGGCCGAAATTGAAATAAGAGATAAATGAAGAATAGTTTCGAACAAACAATAGAAATAAAATAGATCAAGTGCTCAGGATATTTGATATTATAACCATACTTATTTACAATTAGCAATGGCAACGTGTCCATTTGAGAGGGGAATCAATTGTGAAATCCCATTACACTGGTAAATATTGTAATGTCAAACACATGTAAAATAGCTGAAAGCCAAAAATGTTGCCACCAGATAAATAATAAGTTTGATGTTTTGAGAGATGAATGGAAATGACATCTATGGAGATTATGATATAAACTGGGACAATAAAATAATGATGCATAGAATATATCATGTACTATTATTGAATTAGATAATGAATTAGATACATGGATTTTTTTTTTTTTTTTTTGAGATAGATACATGGATTTCTATTACTAATAAATTATCACTAACTTATTTTCTTTAATTTTCACGCTCTAGCTTAAAATATTCCCATTCTTTCTACATCTTCTTCGTCTAGAATACCACCTTCTTATCCATAATTTACATTTTCCTATTTTTTTGAACTTTTATATTTGTTTTTAATAATGATGATAACTCTTCTCTGCTTCTAAACATTATTCATAGGAAGCTTTTATTGTATAAAAGATCTATTCTTCAACCAAATTAAATTTATAAAAACAAACTCCAGCCATCAATCATTACTTTCTAATAGGCTTATTTTTAATAAACGCTAATTAAATTTCATATTGATCTATTGTTCTAACTTCGTTATGTTGTATTATGGTTTAGTTAACCGACCATGCATATACTTAGCATGTGGAGTCGCCAAATATTATTTTATACATCACTTTTTTACACAAAAAAATAATGACACGGTCAATAATTTTTTTCATAAAAAATAATCCGGGCGTAGTCCGGGAAAATAATCTAATTTTTATAAAGAAACAAAAAGGAACAATTCTATGCAAGTGGGGTTGCACTTAAATGTGAATAGTTTCTTTTTTCGCATGAACACACTCTCCGGTTGGCTCACAGGTTGGCGAAATATAAAATTCGTTTGCGCAAAATCATCAATTCAGCTGGGCTAATAATTACTCAAAGATGATTAATAAATTTTCTATTTTTCAAAATGTTTATCACTTAATAATAATAAAAATATAGTAAGGTTGACATTGCTGCAAACTTGCTATCATAAAAAATGGGATTGATAGAACCCAAAATCAATTAAATGGTGTGGTAGTTAGATGTAGTTTCGAGCCAACGCAACCACTTTTTATTGACTTTTATCATGCACCGATGTAGATAGAGTGTATGCAAATATATCCAAATATTACGTACCAATTTCTGGCAACAGTTTCACTTGATTCTAAAGCCATTTGGAGAAAATAATAACAATTCTAAACCAGTAAAAGAAAAAAAAATTATATACTTATCAAAAAAAAAAAAAAATCTATCTGAAAAGGTAAAACCAACTTGCGGAGACACAACTCCTAATAGGAAGTTGTTCATGACTGCATGCATAATGTGACACACTTCTCTTTTCCAGCTTTTCAAAGAAACAAAAAGAAAGAAATAACTTCTACACCAATCTAGACCATCAATCAAAACATATTTTACGGTAACTGAGAAAATTGCCATCCTGTTTGATCTAAATACCATTTATACTAACTGAATTTAGCAAAAAAAAAATAATTCTGGAAATTTCAGTATTTTTTTACCACTACAACATTTATACAAATTCAAATTCGGATTTTGAAGATTTACTTACCAGCTTACCAATGTTAATACTATGTTTGATACACCATCCATTTCAATTTAGTTATTGTTTTAATTTTTTACAAACAGATTAAAAAATATTTAACTTACATATTCTCTAAATAAAAATATTATTATCTATACATCTAACCACATTTCAATCAATGAAAGATGGAATATTATATGAATTTAATCAATTTTGTATTGAAATTATAAAATGATATTTATTTTGAGACGAGAATTTTACCCTATAACAGCATATAAATTGAAACGGATGAAATTTCGAATTCATCAAAACAAAATAGGGCAAACATAATTATAATTATAGACATTGGCCATTTATTGGAATCAAAGGAGAAATGATACCTTACGCAACATTGTTTTCCTTCGTGGAATCCAGGAAAATATTTGTTTCCAACAGTTTAAAATAGAAAGAAAAAAAATATCGCAAATTAAGTAAATAATCATCAGAAAGAAGATATAACAATTACTAGGAGAAACGAAATTCAAAAATTAATCATGCGTAGGTGCAGCTGTGGCGATAACTCCAAGTTTCTGAAGATTGAGTTTGACGACAGTGTCCACAAACATTTTGGTGTCCTCTACCGTGTTCCCCTCGGGAATATCAACGGTGTAGGATTCAAGAACCACCGTGTAGACCTTGCCGGAATCTTCATTCAAGAACTCGTTGACCGACGTTACCGATTTGTAGTTGTTAAGCCGGTGCTCTCCGCCAAGAACCCTAAAGCTCAGGACACGGTGGTCATCGTCGAGAAACTCGAGCCGCTCGGTGCTAGTGGAAGCAGGGAGGCCGGAGATTACTGTAACTTCCCGGACGCTTCCGACTCCGCCATCGCCCGAGACGCGGCGGCAGCTTTTGACGAAGTGTTTGTAGCGTTGTGGGTTGTCGAAGTTGCGGAGGAGAGGCCAAACAACGGATGCGGGAGCGTCGATTCTTTGCGCTACGAGAGAGGTGCAAGTGGTTGGGTCCGGTTCGAACTGGTGGTAAGTATTGATAACCGGTTCGAGGGTTCTGTGCTCCTTGTCGGTTAGGCCTATCACGACCGGGGACGAGCTCATGATGATGAATAGATCACACGTCTGACGTGTGTAGCGGGAGAGAATTAGGGTTCGATGAGAGAGAGAGAGAGTCTTCTTGCTGGAGATTGGGGGGTTTGTGAAAGAGATAACATTAAAAGTCACCTTGTTTTGGGAGCTATGCGGTATTTTATATCCATACGTCTGAAACCCATCACTGTTTTTCTTTTGCCGAATTTGTCCCTTTGCATTTGTTTATTGTTGTTCTTTTTGTTTTGGTTCTACGTTTATTGTGGTTCATCAAATAAGAAAAACCAATAAATACAAACTTTTTTTTAGATAACTGGAGATCCCATTCTGTATCCTGTGATTTTAAAGCATTTATAATGGTCTAACATCACATTTTGAAAGTGGTCCCTCAAACTCAGAATGAGTCGTTATAGATTTTGAATATTGATTCCAATTTTGTTTCCTATCTACAAAAACGTTTCAGTTCATTATTAATTGGCCAGTACGAACAATATTTTTTCCGGGACATGAATCGTTCTGGTAGTGTTTTTGGTAACTATTAAAGCAGAAATATTATTAGCTAACAAATATTGTTCAGTTCATAGAGTGAACAATTGGAGCAAAAGTCACTCTAAACTAGAATTATTCTATTTTTGTTAAAATTATAGAGGAGAAAATAAATTTGGGTTGGAGATGTCCTACCAGATGCCGCCAATAATAAATCTCATATCTATTACATTCATAGAGCTGTTTTGGAACATCTAACATACCAGAAACTGTTTAATTTCTACGTTAGGTTCTTCTCTACTATTATCACGAAATAAACTTGTAAATTCACGAAATAAACTTGTAACCATATCATAAAACATGTTTCCATGCTAGCTCATACTACTCATTTGTATTTGTACATTCCTCATGCGAAAATGATACATACTAGTTAGGCCTAAATTCATGTTATATTGATGTTTCTTCATGATATTAATATGCTCTTTCTTACATTTTCTGCAACAACATAATATATTATAGTGTTCCCTCGTAAGAGGTTCGTTAGTTGTTTGATAAAAGGATCTCATCAATCAGTCTCAATACTGTTTTTCCACTTTAATGGTCTTCGGATCTCTGTAATTATCCATCTACATCGTAATGCATATACTTCATGCTGCGAAGATATTTCCACAAAATTATCGATCATACCTTTTTCTCTTTTGTGAGTTTTGAATAAAACTCCCTTCTCAAGTTAAGTTATTTATAGAGTTTAAAAATGCATTGCAAGCTCTTTACGAGGTATATAAAAAAATTGCAAGAAATTTGTAAGGAATGACCATTTTCCACGAAATTGCGACCAAATTTCCCTCACAAAAAATTAGGCACTCTTCAAAACGTGTACTTCAACTAATTCATAATCTTCTGAAATAGCTCGCAAATCCGTCGCTATATCACGAGGGGTTTACGACAATGACAAGGATAATTTCCCTTCACTAATCTATCGTAAGATTACAAGACAAGATTCCCTTGTAAGGGATTTGAAAGAGTTTGTGTATGCCACACAAATCTATTGTAATAGTTAATTTTGACGAATACTCTCACTTGGATCTAGAACAATTTTTTACCGGGGTCACGATGTCACTTATAACTAAACTCCTTTATAGAATAAAATTTTTAAAAGAAAAACAACTTACAAATTAATCCTACGTGATTCCATTTTCTGGAATCTTTTTATCACAGCGTCATTTGTTACTTTCTCAAACAACTCTTTCTCAACAAAACAAACAACACAATCATTTAAAAATTGATCACTTATCCGGTTTCGCAAACTAGTCTTCACAATCTTCATCGCAGAAAAACATCTCTCAACTGTAGCAGTAGCAACTGGTAGAGTCAAAACTAGCTTTAAAAGCCGATAAACCTGAGGATGTGAAAGATATTTCTTTGTCTCCACCATCATACATGCAAGATCTCCAAGATTCTTCAATGTAGAAAATCTTTCATCTTCACGAATGTTATCAATATAGAGACCAAGTTGATGTTCAAGAGTCATCCGCTCCATATGACTAAAATCCTCAGGATAAAACTCAGATAATCTCATAACTTTCAAGTGATCAAACTCACGAAATGAATCACTGGGGCTCAAAGAAGCAAATGCAACCAAGTAATTCAGTGTTTACCTCATCAAAGCGGTCATTAAACTCCTGAATTTGCATATCCAATACAGTGTAAAAGCATTCCACCTTGTAATGATGCAGGTTGGTTATATTGCTTCTTTTTCTTGAACTCTTCGAATTAAACTCATCATCCATGACCAGCAACTCAATCTTATAATTCTCACAGAAGGAAAAAACTTTGTTGATCAGAGATTGCCATCCATTTTCCCTGAGCTTATACAATTGTTGTTTGGTGGATTTCACAAGCGACATAGCATTCAGGATATCCAAGTCTTTCCTTTGAAGAGCCTTTGACAAACTATTTGTGATCCCAAGAAGAAGCAACATTAACTGCAGGTAGAACACAAATTCAAAAGTGTGGAAGTAATTGAGAAGACCATTAGCTTCTCGTCTTTTGATACCAACACTCCCATCACTTTCGACATACTCAAGTACTTTAATGATTGACGAAAACAAATCAACCAAGCGCAGCAATGTTTTGTAGTGAGAACCCCAACGAGTTTTACCGGGTCTTTGAAATGAAACCTCTTGGTTTAATCCCTTTCCTGTCTTAATTTCACCTTTCTTAGTTCTTTCCTCTATTTTTTTCCGAAAATCTTCTCGAACCATATCTTTCCTCTTACAAGAAGCTCCAACCACATTTAACAAGACAGCAAGCTTATCAAAGAAATCCCCAACTCCATAATGCTTTTGAGCAACTGCCACGACGACTAACTGAAGCTGATGAGCAAAACAATGGACATAATATGCAGAGCTGCATTCTCTAAGAATCAAAGATCTCAATCCGTTGAATTCACCCTTCATATTACTCGCTCCATCATAACCTTGTCCTCTTAACTTTTTCATACTCAGTCCATGTTTAGCAAACAAGGAATCAACAGCACACTTTAGAGATAAAGAAGATGTCTCTTGCACATGAACTAGACCAACAAACCTTTCTTTAACTATCCCATTCTTATCAACAAAGCGAAAAACCACTGCCATTTGCTCTTTATCAGAAACATCTGCAGACTCATCCACCAACAAACAAAATATATCATGACCAACTTCTTGGATGACAGATTCAATAACTTCTTCTGCAAAGCAATGAACTATATCTGTCTGAATTTTGTGGGATACCATCTGATTGTTTTTAGGAGCATTCTCTAAAACAACCTTACTCACAAGCTCATTTTGCTGTGCAGTATATTTCACAAGCTCCAAAAAAATTCCCTTGTTAACTGAATCCGGTGACTCATCATGACCTCGAAATGGTAGTCCTTGTCGTAACAAATACCTACAAACATCAATTGATGCATTCAATCTGATCCTGTATTCATTTTTAACCGCGTCATCTTGCTTATAAAAAGCATGAACAATTGATTGCTCCGGTCTCATAAAATAATCAGCCCTTTTCAATGCACTATTGTGAAAACTATTCACTGCTCCAACATGATCATGTAATCTCCCAGCCTTGTTCCAATCACCAAAGCCAGTAATCACAAACGCATCACTTCCACCCTTATTTTCAGTGTAATCTCTAAACAAGTAGCAGAACAAACAAAATGCTTTGTCCTTTTTCACACTATATTCCAACCAAACACCATAGAGATCAAACCAAGATGGATTGAATCGCCTCAATTTATTTGTAAACATTCTTTTAGGAAATTCATGACCACGAGGTTGACAAGGACCTCTAAGAAGATATCTGCGTATTACCTCATCTCTTTGATTTGCAGGATATTCTGATATTCTTTTCCTTTCTCCTGGATAATAAGGTAAATCCTCCAAATCATTTTCAGTAGTAGACACAGATTCAAACTTTCTTTTGGGTTTGAAATATTTTTCCATTGAAACTTTAACTGCAAAAAAAAAAAAAAAAATTGTTAACAAACCACAATTCTAGTTTCTAAGTTTTCATAACTTTTCTTATTAACTAAGTATTGCACTAACTTAAACTAGACAAAAAAACAACGGTACAGATTTAAAAAGCAATGATAATTTAATACAGAACTCATTACCTATGTCTGATTTAGAGTATTGTTGTGATTGGAATTTGGAAGCAAAAACCTTTAATTGGAAAAAAGAAGAAAACAGAATGAAAGAAGAAGAAGACGTGAAACTAGCTAGGTTAAAATTTCAGAATTATTACATCTCTTTTATTGGGCTTTGTATTTTAAATTGGGCTACAATTGTATTTGGTTGGGTAATGATTTCATTAAAAATAAGTTTTTATCTACAAATGTTTCCTATCTATTCATCGTATACATATATAGCTATATACAAATTTTTTTTTTTTGAAAAATAGACGGTGTCACGTGACACCGTGAACCACCACCTACATCCGCCCCTGCTTATGACTTTATTTATAATAGACTTGTTTCCTTAGGGATTTTTTTTATTATATAACTTAGAGCATCTTCAAAAAGATGTTATATTTTAGAATTTGTAATACTTTATTTTTAAAATTCAAAGGTGTTGTGCTCTAAAAAAAAAACTTCAAATTCTACTCCAAAATTATTTGTATTTTATACTATGGTCTTTATATTAACATAACTAATTCAAATTCATAAAACTTTTATAAATAACATGTACATATATAAAAATGTTATAACAATATTAATTGATAAAATATTACACTAACATATAATATATAAACATAAATATATAATTAAATATTAAACTACAAACAACATACTACATTAAATCTGGTAATATTGTTATTGTCTAGTTCTAGTTTTAAAATATTTGAAATCTTATCTTGATGTTTTAAGTAAAAATATGTAAAATTTAAATTAATTAAAACAATTTTGAAATATTTATGAGATAAGTTTTTTAAAGATTAAAATGATAAAAACCAAATATATAAAGAGTTATAGATATGATATGTAACTTAAGGACCAAAATGTAAATAAAAATATGAAACTTCAAATTTGAAGTTTTGAATAGTAACACTCTAAATTTGAAGTTTCACTATTCAAATTTGAAGCTTTT